TAGTGGAGAAGTAATGTTGTGTAACAGTAATGCGGTCTTGGATTGCAAAATTAGCACAGCATCTTGAATCTAGTGTCAGTTCTGTTGCTAACTGGCTATGTAAGCTAGAAAAATTTTTTTAAATTCTCTAGATGTTTATATTTCTTCTTAGTAATATAGGGGGACCCAAGAAAAAGTCGCTAGGGACCTCCCAATTCTAAAATGATTTTTAATGTCTTTGCATCTTTCCTCTTCTAAAGCTGAACATAGCTTTGCTTTCCTGGAACTCCTGTGGGTACTGTGCAGTCTGCTGGAATTGACACAGTACTCAACCTTGTTTGTTTGTTTGTTTTTTGACAGGCAGAGTTAGAAAGTGAGAGAGACAGAGAGAAAGGTCTTCCTTCCGCTGGTTCACCCCCCAAATGGCCGCCATGGCCAGTGTGCTGCGCCCATCTGAAGCCAGGAGCCAGGTACTTCCTCAGGTCTCCAATGCGGGTGCAGGGCCCAAGGACCTGGGCCATCCTTCACTGCTTCCCGGGTCACAGAAGAGAGCTGGACTGGAAGAGGAGCAACCGAGAGAGACTGAATCCGGTACTGCAACCGGGACTAGAACCCAGGGTGCCGGCACCGCAGGCAGAGGATTAGCCAAGTGAGCCGCAGTGCTGGCCATCACAGTACTCACCTTACTAACATTCCTGGCTATGTGGAGAGTAGTAAACTTCTCAAGACAGCAGATAATCTCTATAAGATCCCTGGAAGGTAAAAACAATCAATTATCATCAATCTCTGATGCCTCTTGACAAAACCAGAAATTGTCACCAAGGAAATCTTCCTTGAACTTTTAAAGACAGAAATGGTAATTGTCATCTAGGCTTTCCCATCAGGCCTCCCTGATTTTGGAGCACAAAACAGGGATTTACTGAATAAAATATCTTGTGTGTACCTAAAGTTCCTAGAACACATACTAGTCCAATTTTAATCTGGCAGATGAAAGCCTACATTGAATATCTTTTGGCACAATCACTTGTTGCCATCAGTTCTGCAAGCTAAGTCACTTTATAACATAATACATGCTGTCAGTTATTCTCTCCATGTCCCTTTCCTCTTCTACCCATGTCCTTTTATTGAAAAGGAAAGATTTACAATTGCATTTCTAAATTTTTCATAATTATCCAAATGTCATCATAACACTGCCAGCGTCCTACAGCTTTCCCAACTTCAGTTTTATCACCCCCCCCCATTTTTATACTGTACTACAGTTAACATCTTCCTATGTCATTTAGTGTTCTCAACCAAGGTATATATTTACATATCTGGGCAGTACCTACTAAAAAATATTCCCACCCAATCTGGGAACTGTGGTTTTAGAAATTCTGGGAGCTGCAGCTTCTGTATTGTTCGAAACATCCAAATATGCAACTGCATTAAAAAGTTATGGTCCATGTAGAAAATACTGGTAATTAGCATCTCATTTTTAATTTTTCAATTTTTTAATTTATTTTGGAAGTAAAATGAGGGGATATATATAGTCACACCACACACACACACACACACACACACACACAAAGAGAGAGAGAGAAGAAAGGATTTTCCATCTGCTGGTTCACTCCCTAAATGCCAGAAATAGGGCTGGACCAGGCTACAGCCAATAGTGGGAAATTAGAGTTAACCCATCATCTGCTGCATCTCAGGGTACATTAGAGGAGGCTGGAATTCAGAGCAGAGCCAATAAGAACACAAGGACTCCAATATGGACATCCAAAGAAGAATCTTAATTGATAGACCAAGCACTCATACTAGCATTATAAATTTTTAAATATTTATGTATGTATGTATGTATTTGAAAGGCAGAGTGAGAGAAGGGAGGTAGGGAGAGAGAGAGAGGGATGAATCTTCCATCCACTGATTCATTGCCCAAATGGCTACAACTGCCAAGGCTAGACCAAGCTGAACCAGGAGGGTTTCCTGTGTGCGTGACAGGAACCCGTGTACTGGAGCCAGCATTTACTGCCTTCTGGATACATTAGCAGAAAGTTAGATTCAAAATGGAGTAGCTGTTCCTCAAACCTTCTCTCCAATATTGGATGCCAACATCACAAGTAGTGGCTTATCCTGCTGTGCTGTAAAACCCATTCCCATGTATTTTTTAAACGATTTATTTGTTTGAAAGACAGAGTCACAGAGAGAGGTAGATATGGAGAGAAAGGTCTTTTTTAATTTATTTTTTAGAAACCTTCTATTTAATTAGTACAATTTCCTAAGTACAACTTTAGGAATATAGAGATTCTTCTCACCATAGCCACCCTCCCACCACCACTCCCATCCCACCTCCTCCTCCCTCTCCCATTCCTAGTCCCATTCTCCATTAAGATTCAGTTTCAATTAACTTTATACCCAGAAAACCAACTTTAAACTAAGTAAAGATTTCAACAATTGGCACACATACACAAAATATAAAAACTGTTTGAGAACAAATTTTACAGTTTATTCTCATAGTACAACTCATTGAGGACAGGTCCTGCATGAGAAGTAAATGTGCAGTGATTCTTGTTGTTAATTTAACAATTAACACTCTTATGTATGACATCAGTGATCACTCGATGCTTTCAACAAGAGCTGCTAGACTATGGAAGCCTTTTGAGTCCACAGTCTTTGACAATATTTAGCCAAGGACTTAAGTAAAGTGGAAGTTCTCTCCTCCCTTCAGAGAAAAGTACATATGAGAAAGGTCTTCCATCCGCTGGTTCCTTCCCCAAATGGCTGCAACAGCCAGAGCTGAGCTGATTCAAAGCCAGGAGCCAAGAGCCAGGAGCTTCTTCTGGGTTTCCCATAAGGGTACTGAGGCCTAAGCACTTGAGCCATCTTCTGCTGCTTTCCCACGCACATCAGCAGGGAGCTGGAATGAAAGTGAAGCAGCCAGGACTTCAACAGGTGCCCATATGATATGTTATCACTGTAGGCCAGGGCTTTAACCTGCTGTGCCACTGTGCTGCTCCCCCCCCCCATTTATTTTTAATGTGTGGCACTGCTATACCATATTTTTCTACAGATTTTATGAGATCAAAATGATCATTTATTTTGTTAACTAAAACCCTAAGAGCTTTCCTATTGTGGTGTTTTTGCTTCATGCACCTAGTGTCTTTAGATTAAAAAAAAATATTCCCAGCAAACTGTTGAAATCTTAATGTATGCTAAACTGCTCTCTGTATATAAAGAGAATCTAAAATGAATCTTGATGTGAATGGAAGGGGAGAGGGAGTGGGAAAGGGGAGGGTTGCGGGTGGGAGGGACGTTATGTGGGGGAAGCCATTGTAATCCATAAGCTGTACTTTGGAAATTTATATTCATTAAATAAAAATAGGAATTAAAAAAAAATTCCCAGCTAGAAGTCAGACATGTACCATACACACTCATTTTCATTATATCATGTAACTGTTCAAATAACTCAGTCACATATATATTATTGTCTTCAGTTTTCAGAAAATGAAAGTGAAGGTCAAAATTATTTGCCCAGTGTCATTTTAACAGTTCTGCAATTAAACACTAGATTTCCTGGTTCCTACTATAGTGCTGGCTTTCATCATCATTTACAAGGTAAAGTTCAGAATTTAGAGATGAGAGCCCATTATTTTGTAACTATTGTTTTGTTTCTTTAATTCAGTGGCATTGCTGTTCCCACAAAGAGATAGGTGCCTCATTTGCTGCTTATTTGTAGTTCTGAAACTCCCGCTTATACTTCATTTGCACAGTGAGCACTCATGATCTTGAAACCTTTTTATATAAATGGAAAACGTAATTCTAGGAACTTTCTTCAATCCAGAGAGTGATATTGTTTACCAAATGTGTACTTTTAACATCACTGTTCAATTTCTAGAGGAAGAGCAACCCTCTTAAAGTCCTGAGCTGACATCCTCGGTATTTCTGCATAAAAAAAAAAAAAATTGTACAGACATTTTAAAGGGAAAGTTGAAAGAGGAAATACATTAAATTTCCTGTTTCTTAGTATATTTTCCCAAACACAGAAGTCAAGTAATCAGTACCAATTCCTCATATTTATATCTATCTGCTTTTCCTTGAGTTACTTATTGATTCTATTCTGTAAATTCCAAAATCAGAAAAAATATATTAGTTCCATAGTTTAGCTGACTGAAACTCCTGTTGGTGTATTTATCAAACAGCTGGTATATTCCTAAGACTTTCCCAATAATCTTCCCACAAATTTCTTTACACCCATTATTGCAGTTTTTGGAAAGTAGTCACAAATGATCCCAATGCTTATTCAATTCATTGGTGCGCCAATGTGACTGAGAGAGAGACAGTGTGTCGGACTCGGCAAGGTCCCCCCTGGATTTCGGCAAGTAGGCCCCTCGGTGTTTGTGTGCTGTTCGGTTCTGTGAGGGTGAGCACAGAACCCCCTCCTACACCTCTTTCCTTGTCCTTGTCCTCGGTCTAAGTGACCCCAGGTTAGGCACACACCGCCCAGAAGTGTAACGCTGCTTCTCGGCTCCTCCTTTTACTTTCAGTTCACCCGGCGAATCCACCTAAGGGACTGATCATCCCAGAATTCAGAACCAAGTCATCTTCCCTCACTCGAGAGAGAGAGGTGATGCTCCGGAGACACCGTGAAGGGCATACGGCCTTGACCTAATGAATCAATGTCCCCCCTAAGCACAGGACATATGTAAGATCTGATACACCACTGTCTGTTCGTCTAAGGTAGGGGACCCCCTTCATAATGCCATCAGCCGATGAGGTGCTAGGAATTCGCTTTGTTATGTATGGCAGCAGTGCTGTGCGTGTCCTTGCTTTGGCTAGAGTTGGTGTGGCGTGCTGCTGTTAAGCGCTCAAACATAGGAAAGATACCCCCCCTCTCAGAATCCTGAGCAGATTACCAAACATAGTGAATCTGTGAGTGATAAGAGCCTGACACTCCAGGTCCCTGTCTCACAGACAACAGTTGATGACTTAGGGAGAGAGAGCTCCGACAGTGAAAATGACATGACAGCAGACAAGGTAGCAATGCCCGGCTAGCTCAGTCGGTAGAGCATGAGACTCTTAATCTCAGGGTCATGGGTTTGAGCCCCATGTTGGGCGCCAGATGCTGCAGTGATTAGTTTCTGGGAAGGGGAGCGTGGTGGGGGCAGGAGGCACGGAGTCAACACACAGACCCCAGGTTTTGGGTGGAAGCAGGCCTGAGACAAGCAGCCTGCAGACTCGTTTATTTCAGTTGCTACAACAGCTTATAAAGCCAAGGCAGCCAATCCGGTCAAGGGACGGTCTATGCTCTAACCAATCACACCCTGTTGCCAGGCAGTTTCTGAAGCCATCCAATCACAGCCTATTGCCAGGCAGACTCTGTTGCCAACGGCCATCTTGGCATGGCCTTCTCATTCCACCACACTTCTGCCTTTAATGTATTTAAGAAACTCCTGGGACTGGTGCTGTGGTGCAGCCAGTTAATGCCCTGGCCTGAAGCCCCGGCATCCCATATGGGCACCGGTTCTAGTCCCTGCTGCTCCTCTTCTAATCCAGCTCTCTGCTAAGGCCTGGGAAGGCAGTACAAAATGGCCCAAGTCCTTGCGCCCCTGCACCCATGTGGGAGACCCAGAAGAAGCTCCTGGCTCCTGGCTTTGAATCCACACAGCTTGGGCCATTGCAGCCATCTGGGGAGTGAATCAGTGGATGGAAGACCTCTCTCTGTTTCTACCTCTCTCTGTAACTCTTTCAAATAAAGAAAATAAACCTTAAAAAAAAAATCCTAAACCTGGCTTTGGAGTCTCTTTGCAATGTATTCTACAATTTATTTTCTACTGTGTTGGTTTTTCTACTGACTCTGTGTGACTTTGTTATTTTCTCTTGTACACACAAATTTTAAAAATCATTATAATGTGTGCTCATTTAGAGACAGCATTGATACTTATGTAAAAAATTACTAATTAGCAAATTGTCTAAATTTTATTTGTGTACTGCATGGAAATGATACTTTTATGCTAAATGAGTTCTGTATTATTCAAAAGTAGCTCTGGCATTTCCATTCTGTTTAATTGTGCTTTCTGTGTATTTCCACATCACTAGTCTGTTCTTTACTTTGTATAGGTTTGTATTTCTCCATATTACTTTCAAAAGGAAATGCTTTCAGCTTTTCCCCATTCAGTATAATATTGGCTGTTGGTTTGTCATATAGCCTTTATGATTTTGAGGAATGTTCTTTCTATGCCTAACTTATGGAGGATTTTTATCATGAAGGGGTGTTGAATCTTATCAAATGCTTTCTCTGCATCTATTTAGATGACCATATGTTTTTTGTTCTTCATTCTATTGATGTGATTTATGACGCTTATTAATTTGTGAATGTTGAACTATCCTTGCATTTCTGGGATAAATCCCACTTGATCATGATACATGATCTTTTTGATGTGTTTTTTATTCGATTCTCTAGTGCCTTATTGAGAATCTTTTTTATCAATGTTCTCTAAGGATATAGGTCTGTAGCTTTCTTTTTGTGCTGTGTCTTTGTGTGTTTTGGTATTAAAGTAAAGCTGGCCTCATAAAAAGAGTTTGGCAGAGTTCCATCCTGTTCAAATTTTGGAATTTTTCGAAGAGTATTGGAGTTACTTCCTCTTTGGAAGTTTTGTAGAATTCAGTAATAAAGCATTAGGTCCTGGACTTTTCCTTGATGAAAGACTTTTGATTAGGGCTTCAATTTCATTGCTTGTTATGAGTCTTTATGTTTTGTGTATCTTCTTTAGTTTATCTTTATAGGTTATATGTATCCAGGAATTTACCCATTTCTTCAAGGTTTTCCAGTTTACTAGTATATAATTCTTCATAGTAATTACTTATGATCCTTTGTATTTCAGTGGTGTCGGTTGTAATGTCTCCTTTTTCATCTCTCGTTTTGTGTTTTTTTTTTCTGTTAGTCTCTCTAGAAGTTTATTTACTTTGTTTATCTTCTTAAAAAAGTATTTTGTTGATTTTTTGTATTTTTTTAGTTTCAATTTTATTGTTTTCTGCTTTGATTCTTATTGCTTCTTGATTCCTGCTAATTTGGGGTTTGGACTGTCCTTGTTCTTCTAAGTCTTCAAGATGCATCATTAGATCTTTAATTTGGGCCATTTCTCTTTTTTAAGATAAGCATTTAATGCTATAAATTTCCCTCTTAATACTGCTTTTGCTGTATCCCACAGGTTTTGATATATTGTGTTTACATCTTTATCTATTTCAATAAAGTTTTTCATTTCATTTTTAATTCATCAGTGACCCATTCATCATTCAGTAGCATGTTGTTCAATTTCCAAATATTTCTGAATGTTCTGCTGTTCTTGTTGTTGATTTATAGTTTTATTCCTTTATGGTCTGAGAAGATACATGATATGATTTCCATATTTTTAAATTTGCTGAGACTTGTTTTGTGGCCTACTATGTGATGTATCCTAGAAAATGTTCCAGGTGATATTGAGAAGAATGTGTATGCTGTAGCTGTTGGGTGAAATGTCCTTTAAATCTATATTAGGTCCATTTGCTTGATAGATGTTTCAACTCTGATGTGTCTTTATTGATTTTCTGTCTGGATGACCCGCCCATTGATGATAGTGGGGTGTTGAGTGAACCACTATTATTGTATTGGAGTCTGACTCTCCATTTATGTCTAGTAGTATTTGCTGTACATAGATGGATGGTCTTGTGTTGGGTGCATATCACTACCTTCCATTTACTTATGTGAATGAATAGTGTTATTCCAATTCTCAGCTATTTTTCCAATTAAATAGTGAAATCATGGTTAAGATTCAAGTGATGAAATTATCTTTGTATTAAATTTGAGGCTGTATTTTAAGGGTTGTTTGGGGAGAAATGCCAATTTTATTCCCAGTCATGTAGTTTAAGTTTTGTTCATCAAAATAAAAATAATTCACCTCACACTTCACAAATTCTGAGCATATGTGACCTCAGTTATTTTTTAAAAGACCCATCAAATCTTTTTTGGGAGTGTTTTAATATCTTCTGTTTAATTATTGTTTTATATCTTTACAAACTATATAATATGTAATATATTGACAGAAATATATATATATAATATATACAGGAAAATATACAATATGTAATATATTGACAGAGAATAAAGATTAGTTTTACCCATGTTTTCTTTTTAGTAATCATTGCTCTATACTTAAAATTAATTATTTTCTAAATACTGTTCCCCTTGATTAATTTAGGTTTATATTTGATTCTTATTTTTCTTTTGTCATGGGAGTGTTTGTTTATTTTTCTTTGAATGAAAGGGCTACAGATGTTTTGTGAAGCATTACATCCAGTCCTTACATCTTATTTGTTATATAGAAAATATAAATGCTTTTGAGCAAATAATATGTAAATAATAATATATTTTAAACAGTTATAAAGTATACAAATGAAATTCTAAAACTCATTCTAAAAGCCAATGTATTTTAATTGAGGTTTTTTAAAAAGATTTTATTTATTTTATTTGAGAGTTAGAGTTACAGACAGTGAGAGGAAGAAACAGAGAGAAAGGTCTTCCCCCTGTTGGCTCACTCCCTAAATGGGCGCAACAGCCGGAGCTGCACCGATCCGGAGCTAGGTGCTTCCTCCTGGTCTCCCATGCAGGTGCAGGGCCCAAGGACTTGGGCCATCCTCCACTGCACTCCGGGGCCACAGCAGAGAGTTGGCCTGGAAGAGGAGCAACCAGGACAGAATCCAGCGCACCGACCGGGACTAGAACCTGGGGTGCTGGCAACACAGGCAGAGGATTAGCTAGCCTAGTGAGCCGTGGCACCGGCCTGCAATTATCTTCTTTAAAAATATACACTGCTTTATACTTTTGTCTCTTATGTATTGCTAGTAAACAAAATTTCTTTGTTTCTGTTTCCTAGGAAACTTTGAAATTTTTAAATATTTTATTACCAGTAATTTTAAAAAATCTTCTTTTTTCAGCATAAAAGCAAAATAGCCGCCATTATTTGCCTACCTTGTGTGGAGTAAAAATTTGAAAAAAAAGAATTTCTTCTTTTCTAAAATTCTGTATCAACTTTTGTTAGTATATTCTGATGTATTGTTGTAATGATCATTTCATTAGCTCACAATAATAGATAGAATCTTTTCATGCATGATTTTTATACTTACATTATATTTTCTAAACAGAAAGAATCCATAATCTCTCTACTGTTATAAATCCCAGGTCTATTTTGAAATTTAACTGAAAATATTTTTATTGTGTATTCTTTAATTGAAAGGCAGAGTATCAGTGAGAGAGAGGGAGGGAGAGAGAGAAAATTTTCCAGCTGGTGGTTCACTTCCCAAATGAGCCAGGCCAAAGTCAGGAGTTTAGTACTCTGAGTTTCCAACGTAGAGTTGTAGGGGCCCAAGTACTTGGGCCATCTTCTTCTACTTTCTCAGATGTATTAGCAGGGAGCTGTATGAGAAGTGGAGCAGCACGGACTCAAACTAATGCTCATATGGATGCTAGTGTTGTAGGTGGTGGCTTAACCCATCATGCCACAATTCCTGCCCAGGTTGAACTGAAATTCTAACTCCAATTTCCCTTTTTGCAGAAGGGTTTTCCTCCAAAATCCATGGTTTGTGTGTGTGTGTGGGGGGGGGGCTTTAATTTTATAATTCTTAGTATGTTACCTTTTATCTATGTTTAACTTCTTTCAATGTGTGTGTGCCTTGTATCTTCAGTTAGAGCAATCTGCTACTGATCCATAAAATCAGCTGTGAGTTTTATAGAACATGGCTTAGTAGACAGTGACTCTGGATAGACTGTGTAGTATCACTAAACAGATTAGAACATTAAATAGATATTACGGGTTGTAACCAGCCACTTCAGAAATTACCATGAATGAACCACAAGTGAAGGGGCTGGCAGAGTGACCACTGATATCGGCATGACCCAGTAATAGGTATGATGGGGGAGGGGCTACTGTTATTACCTCTAATCTACTAAGAATGGAGGGCTACAGTTTGAAGAATTTAAATAATTTATCCAAATCATTTCAGTTGTAAATAGCATAATTTAGAGACAAATCTGGGAATTGGATTAAGCCATCAGAGTGACTCTCTATGGGACCACTGGGTTC